TAAGCCAGACTGGTACTTGAAAGTTTCATTTTTATCATTCAGAATAAATGGACTTCATAGCGGAAATGATTTGACCCAGTGGTGGAGGCGTTTCCAAATAACTCCCTTGCTCAATAAGCTTCAATATTTTTGAACACGCAATTATAAAATGGTTTGAAAGAGTTTTACATAATTTCTGAAGCTGGAATTATCTTTTAATGCTTTCAACGACGGTTTAATTTTTTTTTTTTTTCTATATTTGTCAAAGTGAAGTAACTTCAAACGAGGTTATCCTGACATGTTTAACTTAGCTGATAAGGAACAGAAAGGTAATAATAATAATCTATGACAGGTTATAGAGAGGCAATCTCAGTAGTACTGTCCTTTGAATTATTAAAATAGCTTGAAAAGGATTAAAAAACAAAACAAAACAAAAGTGACAATTCAATCAGTAAGCTGTTCTATGGAAAAGAATCATCAGAACTTGATAATTTACTTAAACTTTAATATGCTTTAAGCATATTATAAACCTCATCCTCGATCGATTCTCTGTATGCCTCGAAAAACCCTTGACGATTGCTTTATAGATTAAACTGCAATAAGCATTTGAACAAGAGTTAGATGAATGCCACCGAACCCTTAATATTCCATTTAATAATGAGGAGCTCATTTTTTTCAGTTAAAATGCAATACCTTTCAAATACGACAACTGGTTGACTCAGTTTCCGGGAAAAAAAAAAGTATGGGCGTTCCTTCTTCACGGTAAACGGTAATGTTGGAAAAGTCTGTTTAGGTACAAGAACGTAGTTTGCGAATCTGTCCAAGCTGATTGAACTCGCTGTTCTAGTTCATTTACACGTCAGAGCTCGCCTTATTGACTGTCTAAAACGTCTGCTTTGAAGTGTATACACGAAGGGATTCACTGTAGAGTTTAAACAAGTCAACACCACTGTCCATCTGTACAAAGGCGAACCGTACACAGCGTCAGAAATGTTAAATGCCAGGATGTAAAGAACTAGATTCGGCAGCCAACATACTGAATAAATAACTGTCAATGTAATGGCCATTTTGGAGACTTTTTTTGACATTAGAATGGCTCTTCTATCGAACCTTGATAATGTAGGTTTCTTTATCCACAGTTGGTGTACAACTTTCGAGTACACAACGGCCATGAAAATGATTGGCGATGCTCCGACGACACAAAACCAAACTACGCCATACAGTTTTGGAAGCAAAGGCTTTGGCCAATTTTCTATGCAGAAATTAGTTTCGCTGTCGTAAGACATGATGAAAAATAACGGAAGATTGAGCAGCAAAGCAGAGGCCCAAGATGATAGAACCAAAGCTCGCAATTTCGCCACAGACAACTTTTGGATGTAAAGATGAGGTCGGACTACAACTTGGCGGCGTTCAAAGGCAATGACGACAAGTGTGAAAACAGATGCAGCCCCTGCGGTCCACATGAGATTTCCACCGGTAACAAAACGGCACAAGATGTCTCCGGCAGAGCTCAGAGGATGGACGAAAAATGGGCTGAGAACGTATCTTGGAATTGCAAACACTGCCATCATCATATCTGCCACAGCCAAGTTAAGGAAAAGAAAGTCGAGGGTCGAACGACGAAATCTGAACCGTTTTCGCTGAAGAATTATGATACAAACCAGTAAATTTCCGACAAAATCGACGATAGAAAGCAGTGAAAACACCACCACTAGAGAAAAGTCGTTGGCAGATAGCATTTTAAATCTTGAAGCTAAAAAATCAATGACTTGTTTTTCTTTCTTTATCAAAAACCCGTGCGACCAATTTACCGGGTTTAGGCCGGCCAAGCAAAAGTTGTTTTTTCCAGCAGATATGCTGATTAGATTTGTAACAATACACTCTGTGTTAATATTTATGGAGAAGCAATATACTGTGAGAGGATGATATCATTAAGCAAACCCGTGCTATAAACGCGGATGTTTAATACAGGAAGTTATTCAATTTTTACACAATCCACGTAACAGAGAGAAGAAGTAAGAAAACTGAATTGTTTTTCTTTTTTTTCGCTTTCTTAGACAACGTCACTGTTCTCTGTGGTTTAATTCCTCAACTTAGGGATTGTCATGTTAACTTGCTTTCAAAATTTTATTAAAGCTTTTTCACCACGTTTGCCTAAATTATTAATGTTTTTCATTCTTATTTGTGCAAATTACTTAAATGCTCGAC